CTTCCAGTGGTTTTGATAAAATTAACACAAAAATAATAAAGGAAGTTCAAGACAACATAAGTGATGTACTAGTACATATAATAAATTTAGCATTTAAAATGGGAACCTTTCCTACTAACTTAAAACAAGCAGTTATAACACCTATATTTAAAGGTGGACAAAAAACAAACCCAGAAAATTACAGGCCAATCTCCGTCATACCAATTTTTGAAAAGATTTTTGAAAAATGCTTAGTTTCTAGACTAGATGAACACTTACAAAGAAACAATATATTATCAGAGAGGCAGTTTGGATTCAGAGCCGGACACTCCACGGAGGATGCCTTATTCAGCTTTACCAAAAAAATACACATATCATTAAATAAAAAAAAGAAAATAATAGGAATATTTTTGGATCTGGCAAAAGCCTTTGACAGTATATCACATTCTTTATTACTAATGAAATTAGAGGCCTACGGTATCCGAGGTATAGTATTAAAATTGTTTAAAGACTACTTGTCAGATCGCGAATCTTATGTAAAAATTGAAAATGTTTTAAGCTTTTCAAAAAAGGTTGAATGTGGCGTACCCCAGGGAACGGTTCTGGGACCGAAATTGTTCCTGCTTTATATAAATGATATGCTAAAAATGCCTGAATGTGGAGATGTTTTGTCTTATGCTGATGACACTGTGCTACTCTTCTACAACAACACTTGGAAAGAAGTCATATCGGATGCTGAAAATGGTCTTTACCGTATAAAATGTTGGTTGGATAGTAATTCGCTTAGTCTTAACTTCACCAAAACTAAACTGATTACATTTACAAATAGTTCTTCTAATCAACCACACTTTACAAAAATTAAATTTCATTCCAAATGTGACCAAAGTAGAAACTGCAAATGTCAAAGATTAATTGAAAAAACTAACACTGTGAAATATTTGGGTTTAGTAATAAATAATACTTTAAAATGGTACGATCACTCTTCTTATATCGATAATAAACTAAAAAAATTAAATTTTACTTTTTATAAATTAAGAGATACTACCAATTAAAATCTTAATAACGACATATAAATCGATGGTTGAGGCTATTATATCATACGGTATAATTATATGGGGCTGCACCTATGCCTCTCAAATACAAAATTTGATCATAACTAAAAAGGGTATTCTTAAAACAATTTTATCGAAATCGCGAATGACCCCGACTAATGAGGTTTATAATGAATGTAGAGTTTTTAATTTTTTTCAAATATATGCATTTAATGTACTGAAGTTCGTTTATAAAAAATCAGAGTTAAGAGAATTACCAACTCATAGATATGATACTAGACAAGAGCTTTTTATTATACCCAGAATATCATCTACGTTGTTCGAAAATAGTATTTTTGTACAAGGACCGAAACTATATAGTATTTTGCCTAATGATCTAAAATGTATTAATTCATTTGGTTTATTTTGTAAAAAAGTTAAAACATTTATCTACCATAATAGGGATGTCATAGAAAGTATGCTGCTTTAATATTTCAACTTTATTGCCTAATTTTGTTGATATTTTTGTTATTTTTTTCTTTTTTGTTGTTATTTCGAAGTTAACGAATTGTACTTTAATTTTGACTTATATTCAAATTATATTACCTTATACGCATGTTGATTGTAATTGATTAAGCACGACACGATTTCCATGAGAAATCAGGTGCACTTATTAATTTAATAAAATTTTTTTGTAAAACCATTGTAAACATGAAGATGAATAAATTTGAAATTTGAAATTTGAAATTGTTGTTTGAAAGTAATTTCCTGCGTACTGATTAGGGGTGTCAATCCCGGGATCCCGAAATCCCGGGATCCCGTAAAAAATCCGATCCCGAAAATCCCGGGATCTTAGTAATAAGTTACAAAGAATAAAATATAATACTCATAAGCATATACAGGGTGTTTCATAATATATGCGCAGGACTTCAGGATGTGATAGCTCATCCAAAAAGATGAAAAAAGTCGCTATTAACTTACCCTCTAAAATGCACAATTTTCGAGATACAGGGTGTTGAAATTTTAGAAAAAAATCGTTTTTTTAGATTATCTCTGGAACCGTTTATCGTACAAAAAACAGCTTTTGTAAGCATTTTCTACTCATAAAAAGCTATGTTTTGTGCCAGAAAAAAATTTTTTTTACTCATAATTGGTGGATATTTTAAAGGGGTAGCGGGTGTTTTTCTCCTCAACTTCAACGCCCCTGAAAAAAGTACGGTTTTGAGAGGCCCATTCGAACCGCCAATGTTTTCTACAGAAAAAAGGTACTCTTGGTCATAAGCTCTAAAGTTGACCGTTTTCGAGAAAAATCAACTTTTATGTTTAAAAACATGGTCAATTTAAAAAAAAAAAATTGTATTACTAATTAAACAAAATTTATTTTAACGTTAGAAAAAGTAACAAAACCAAACGATAATTGCAAAATTAAAAAAAAAATTAAAAATAATTTTTTACATAAATGCTGAAATGTGCGAAATGCGTTACCTTTACGGTTTGGAGAATTAAGCAAAGACAACTTTTAAATCATTTTTTATTTTGCAATTATGGTTTGGTTTTGTTACTTGTCCTAACGTTAAAATAAATTTTGTTTAATTAGTAAAAAAAATATTTTTTTTTTAAATTGACCATGTTTTTAAACATAAAAGTTGATTTTTCTCGAAAACGGTCAACTTTAGAGCTTATGACCAGGGGCGTAGAAGTTGAGGAGAAAAACACCCGCTACCCCTTCAAAATCTCCACCAATTATGAGGAAAAAATTTTTTTTTCTAGCACAAAACATAGCTTATTTTGACTAGAAAATGCTTACAAAAGCTGTTTTTTGTACGATAAACGGTTCCGGAGATATTCGAAAAAAACGAATTTTTTTCTAAAATTTCAACACCCTGTATCTCGAAAATTGTGCATTTTAGAGCGTAACTTAATAGCGACTTTTTTCATCTTTTTGGATGAGCTATCACATCCTGAAGTCCTGCGCATATATTATGAAACACCCTGTATATTAGACTGGGGCAAAAAAATCAACTATTTTTTTTAAAAGTATATAGAAAATATGGTTTAGAGCGACAAAAAAAAATTATTGTGAAAGTTTGAGTCCATAATATTATTATTAAGAGGTCTATCATCGCAATTTTATTTTTTTTCCCTCATCATGTTTTTGTATCAGAACTCCCAAACTATTGAGTTTAAAAAAATTTACTTAAAAATATTTTTTTAAGAAAATTAAATGCTCTACAAAAAAGGTTAAATAAAATTTTTTGTCAGATGAACCGTTTAAAATCATGCCCTAAACATTGGTATGGTTTTTTGATCTTTTAACTTTGGAATTTTGAAATCCACGTAAAAATCAGTACCCATAAAAAACCGATAAATATTCTTATGTGAAATCAAATGCTTTACATAATATTATGGACTCAAACTTTCACAATATTTTTTTTTGTCGCCCCAAACCATATTTTCGATATACTTAAAAAAAAAAATAGTCTAATATACAATACCTAATATACAATATATAAACACTTCATTTTTTTTACTCAGTTCAAGTCAAATTATTATACACCGCCGTACAATAATGGAAATACATTGAAATTACATAGCAAGAGTGGTTCCATCTATAGCATAAAATCAGCAAAGAAAATGTAAAATTACAGGTCACTAAAAATTAATTTATGTACATAACCTATAATATAACATATTTCAAACGTCAAACCTGAAAAAATGTTACAAACTTGATAATTTCAATGTAAGTTACAGCCCCAATTGGAACTCATCAAGGCCCGATTGATACAAGAAATGGAATTATTTTTTAATGGGGGTAAACGTGGGTACAATGTGCCTACGAATTCTTGAAAACCATTCTTCCGACTAGTGTCGTCCAAAAGATATCGTTCGTTAGTTTGTTTGTTGATTTATTTTAAATTGGTTTTAAAATTAATGATACATATTTTTTCGGGACTGATCCCGGGATTAGTTACCATTGGTCCCGAAAGGCCCGGGATTGGAAAATGGGCTCGGGATTGACACCCCTAGTACTGATGTCCCTGGTGGAAGAAGTTATTGAAATTTTTACTATTGTTAAAAAATGTAATGCATTAATGGACATCAAAATTTTTTTAATACATGTATGTTTTTTTAGGGCCAAAACCGATGCAGGAGGGAAGTTTTATACCTTCTTTCACTTCTGAACCCATTCAAAATACAGATGCACTGTTTGTATATTCTTTAATTTATTTTATTGTTAAAATTAGTGTATTATAACCATTTACTTTTTAAAATAAATAAATCTTTGCAACTATTTTATTTTATTGGTAAAATTTAAATAAATTAATATTATAAATATTAATATATACAAAATAGATAAAGCCGGCCCTGTATTATAAAAGTTAATAAAATATTTAGTACGGCCCTAATTGGCAGGCGTTTATGACGTTTTTGTTTCTTAAGTTTAACACAGTGGTCGCCCTTCTTATATTCTTTTTCTATGGGTGAGGCAAGGGAGGCGACGCCTCACCTAGAGTTTTGGACAAATCAATTGGTTTTTTATAATGATAATTTTTTAAAAAATAATGAATAAATGTAATAAACTTATGGCTTTTCTGACAAAAATGTTTACGGTCCTAATCGCAACGCAACAAAATTCACGAACTGGAATACTTTTTATGCACAGGTCAGCTATAAAATTCCGCGCCTCTAAAGGCTCATTCACAACCTCGAAATTAGTAGAATAAATTAGTGAGCTCAATTACACTTATACTTAAAGAAAAATGATCATTTACAATGCCATAAATTAACAATTAAAGTTAATGAAATTTGCTAGTGGCATCTTGCGGTAGCCGGTCGCAGAACTGCATCGGTCGATAATACAGGTTGATTTTTTGACGGCATCATAGCTGTCATTTGTTATTTTTAAGTGTAAGTAACGGCACAATCAATTTGGATCCAATCGGTTTGTTTAACAAAAACGTTAAAGTATTTGTATAGTGTGTTAGTATAATGGAAGAAAACTTTATACAACTAGTTATAGGGAGCAGATTTTTATACGATAAAAGCCATACAGATTTTAAAAATGGGCCAAAAAAAGAGAGAGCTTGGCAAGAAATAGGCGAAAATTTCGGAATTTCAGGTAAGAGAATATAAAATTTAACTATTTTAGGCTTTAATGTGGAATTTTAGGTGAAGAAGTTTCCAAACTTTTTAAGTCCATGCGGAAAAAATATTCCAGAATAAAAAGAAAAAAAGATACGGATAGTAAAAGCGGTTCAGGTGCCTCAAAACAAAAAGAGTGGCATCTGTTTGAATTGATGCGATTCATAGACGAGGTGCTGAAACCTAGACAGTAAGTTTCTACAGTGCTATACTGTTATAATTTGTTTAATTGGCTTGTTTTTTGTAGAACTGCTAGCAGTATTTTAAATAAACCAAGTCAGTCGAGCCAGTCTTTGTCGGTTGAAATAGAGGTTGAGGATGGCATCACCATTAAGGACCTGCTTGATGAATCAATGCTTTCATCAGATTCGTGGGTGTCAACAACATCATTAAATTTAGGGCAAGGCCAATCAAGCACACCACAAATTGTTAAAAGGACAGTCTGAAGAGGAAAGTGGGGATTTTGATGAGGAAATAATTAACCCAAAGAAAAGGAGTGCAATGCATTTAACTCCAACACCGTAAGTAACACAGAAATGGTTATAAACTTATCTTATTAAACATTTTTCATTAGGAGCAGAAACAAGAAGAGGACCATCGACGAACGTGTTTCTTCTGCTTTAGAATCTATTGCAGCCACTTTTGAACATAAAACTGAGCCAAGTGCAGGATCGGAGTATATTCATGCATTTTGTGCAAATTTAGAGCAAGAAATGAATAGAATGCCTTTAAATATCCTTGAAGATTTTAAAGTGAAGTTAATGAAATATTAATAAAAAAAAGACGATTAATGCGACTTTAATTTAAATTTGAATAAAAAATATATATAGGTAATTTATGTTTGTTTATTTTCTGAAACCTTACAATAAAATAAATTTTATAGAAGTTGGAATACAATTACATTATTTATTTATTTACAGCCTCATGTTGCCAGGGCACACTTCCAATGTCACTATTTACATATCTTAAAATATAGTTTCTATAATTTAATGCATTTTGTGTGGCGTTTCTTGTTCCAACTCTACGAGCCAGCGCCGTAGCAATAACCCAACGGGCCCGGGTTCGAGGCTATACCCACGGGCCACTAGGTGTTTTTTTATTTTGGATTAATTAATATTTTTTATGTTATATTTGGGAGGGAAACAACAACCTTTATACCTCTTTAAATCTACGGTTTTGAAAGTGAAGAAAAAATAAAAGACTATTTATATATTGTCTATAAAATATTTTTATATTTTACATACACGGGAAAAATAAACTAAAACTAATAAAACTATTTATAATAATATATTATGAAGAAAATAAAAGGGCATAAAAATAAAGGTGTGTCCATTAAAAAGGTACTTTCCTAGATTTAGCAGCGGCCAATTTTGTAATAATTCCTTTTAAATCCATTTTCAATGGAGATAATTTTTACTCATGGAGTTTTTATTAACTTAAGTTTTGAGAACGATCGTTCTGCCGATGCAACCGTCACAGGAATTTGTAAGGTATAGAAAACATAGTTATTATTTCGGTAAAGCTGCTACTGAATGAGTAATAATAATGACAATTATTGTCAACCATAATAAATTTTAGAATAGTATATTCTGTAACAAGTTTGGAATACAGCATATTATTGGAATATGCAATTCCAAACGTGTTTCAGACTATACTTTTTCTACGTTTTCAAAAAATACCATAGAAAAATAATTTGATTGGAAGAAAGTGAGGTTGGATCGGTCTAAAATTGGTTAGATATTAAAAACAGAGATGTCGCCACGAGTGTTTATTCTGTCATCCGATGATAGAATATTTCATTCTGTAACACTTTACGGAATATATGTCATTCCATAGATAAAAGTGATATTAGAACGGTCAAATTCCGTAATAGGAGTAGAAAAAATCGCCGACGGTGGTCTAGTGGTTAGTGCTGCTGACTACAAGCCGGAGGTCGTGGGTTCGAATCCCACCAGGGGTATGGCTGTTTATTAGTGTTTGTCCTATTGTGTTATAGTCCTTCGGAGGGGACTTTAAGCCCGCGGTCCGTTCCTACCCCTAACCCACACAAGCCATTCAGTTGGCTTATGGGACTTCTTAAGAAGTAAGGGTGGAACTAAAAGAGCACTTGTGTATATAAACTTTGTATATATACAAATATATATATATATTTCACGAATGTTTTCCGCCATTGGGTATATTTCTGCATAAGTAGAATTTAACAGAACTTCTGTATTCAAAATACTAATGTAAACTAATTGTTCTACTTTGTAACTGGCTGATAATAATATCTAGGGTCTTAAAAAGACTTCAACTCTAAAAATATCTTCAGCAGTTTAAAAAACAAAGTCATTTGCAACTTCATCAAAAAAACGTTTGCGTTTGCGAATACGTTTTTGGCAAAATTCTGTAATTTTTTAATTGCCGTAATGTTGGCCTCTTTTTTTATATCTAAAAATTCATTCCGAAATTTGCTTATGTCATTTGACACATTTTTTAAAAGTTTACTGAATTTTTGGATATCTTGCTGCTGATTTTGTAAGAGTTTTGATACTGTGTCTATGCTAAGTATTTAAAATTTTAGATTGTAAAATAATTAAAAACGCTCCTCCAATGTACTTTTAAATCCTTTCTAGTCGTCTATTTCAGGCTTATTATTAGATGTTAAAATAATTTTTGACAAGGCCTTAAGAACATACCTAAAACGTAGGGCTTTTATTGTATGTGATTGCGTGAAGACCAACGGGTTGTTGATAGTTTTTTAAGATTTAATTTTGACTCGTTTTTACATGATTCAAGCAAAAATTATTATTATTGGTGGTCTTTTACTATTTACTAAGCCTTAAGCCAATATTATAAATGAATGCCTTATAAATGTTGAAATATATTTTTTAAAAACATAATCCAAATATTTAAAAAAAAAATTGTTCCAACCGCTGGCCGCGGGCCCCTTGTGCTCGCGGGCCTGGTTCCATCGAACCCACGGAACCATTGTAGCTACGGCGCTGCTACGAGCTAATTGTTGCACTGGCTGAAGAGCAGGGTTTAATGGTACCTCTTTTCGCCATTCACCAGAAATTAGATTTCCATCTACTTCATGATCTCCAAATGATGTCTGACAATATCTTCTCTGTGTACTAGGTGTGCTTGCTTCATACTTTTTAATATAGTTGTGAAGAACTACACATGCTTTAATTGTTTTGTCAACATTTTGTGGTTGTTTATATATAGTACTATGAAATATACGAAATCTTGCAACCATTATGCCAAATGCATTTTCAATGCATCGTCTTGCCCGGGACAAACGATAATTAAATATTATTTGGGGTAGAGATAGCAATTTTCCTCCATATGGTCTCATTAAATTTGTTTGAAGTGGAAATGCCTCATCTCCAACAAAATAGTATGGTGCTGGTCTAGTTTGTCCAGGAAAACTTTTATCTGGAGGAAGCCCCAACAGATTATTATTTAGTTTATATCCAAAAGAGGATGATCTAAGAACCCCGCCATCACTTTGCGAACCATATGCCCCAATGTCCACATATGTAAAACAATAGTTATAGTCACAAGCTGCGAAAAGTACTATACTAAAATGTTTTTTATAGTTAAAGTATAAGGAATTAGTGTTGTATGGTGCCCGAATTGCCACATGTTTACCATCGATGGCTCCCACACATCTTGGCAGGTTCCATATATTTTCAAACCCTTTACTGATCTGGGTCCAACCATTTTCATCTGGAAGTTTTAAAACCTTGTCACATAAAACTTCCCAGATAGCATCACAGACTTCATTAATAATACAACAAGTTGTAGATTTTCCTATTCTATAGCTAAATGCTAGTGTTGGAATGATATCACCTGCTGCTAAATGTCTGAAATTATATATATTCATATATTTATTAAAATAAAGGAGTTATAATCATACCTTAATGTCAAACAAAGACGAGCTCCGGGGGGTATACATTCTCTATAACTTTTTTTTATTATGATGGGCCCCACTAACGCCAGTAAACTGTCAAATTGCTCCAAATTTAATCTGGTATAATTAAAAAAACATTCCAGGATCAGTCAGCCGCATTTCTTGCACCAAGTTATGAAAGTCTCCTTGTTGTACAAGATTCCTATTAATTGGCCGAACCCACCAACGTCGTTCTCGTCTTTTTCTCCTTAGCAAGAAGTAAGCACCCAAAAGAACTACTACCTTTCCCGCAACTTCCCTATTTCTTAAGGCCATTATTTTTAAATACAACACATAAATAATAACCTCAATTTAAATGTCAATTTATAACTGACACTTGTATCATCCCGTGCGCATTGCGCATGTCCCACTTGTAAATTAGTCGAAAAAGTTTTGAGTTTGTAAACTTTTCCGACTGCGTAAAACGTCACGCTACTAATTTCAAGGTTGTGAATGGGCTCATCCAAATGTACGGAAACAAACTTTGACGTTAAGTGATATTACTAATTTTATTTGCTAATTTCGAGGTTGTGAATGAGCCTTAAACGTCGCGACGCGTCGATCCTGGCTGAATTGCACAGCTAAGAGCGCTGTCGTTTGATTGGTCCATGCCCGTTTTGGAGAGGCACCGTCGTAAATCGCTTACTAGACGACTTCACCCGAACTTCGGGTCCCGAAGTAACTTCGTTGGGTCAGCTGTTTTACTTGTTTTGTGGTTGCAAATTGGAGAAATGGAGAAAATAGGAGATAATGCTCAAGATATTTTAAAGGCAACCTTTAAAAAATGTGGAATTGTGCCTTGCGATGTTAGCCCCCTATTGGACCGATTAAATATTAATCATCAGTCAACTGACAGAACTAACGGGGAAGCAAACAATAACACTCCACAAGCCTCAGACATTCAAAATTCTTTCATTGACTATTTAAAAGGAAAAAGGGAAGAAGCCACCCAGTTTAAAGTTCGCGGGAAGAAGAGAAAGTTAACAGTTAAACCTGGTAAAAGCATCGCTCATTCTAAAACTAACCTAACTGACATTATTGAAGCTTCATGCTCAACATCTAAACTAGACACGAATGTTTCAGATGAAGAAACAAACTTTGCTGATGACGTTCTACCAGCATGCTTTGAAAATCCATCAGATGATGATGTTGATGAGATACAGGAAATTGAGGAAGAAATTCAGTTTAATAAAAAACTTGACTCTGGTACTTTGTGTACCGGTCCTGAAAAAATAAAACAGAGTTCTTTGAAAAATGTAATAAGGGCTATTGGTGAACACGTTTTATTCATTTACGAAGATAATGTATATCCCGGGGTCATAACTTCATTCGATAAAGATGGAGCTATGGTTAACGCTATGGTGAAGTCATTAAAGTCCTGGAAATGGCCGCAAAAACGTGACAAAATATGGTACACATGGGACAAAATTATTGGCTCAATAAACCCACCCAAGAAAATATCAAGGCGTGGTTTATATGCTGTTCCAGAATGTGACAAATTGTGGTGGG